CATTATTTATTTATTGAGTAGAAGTAAAAAAAGAAACTCTAGAAGGCAATCCGCATTATAACATGGGGAGAGGGATGAAAAAATCGTTATAAAAAGAAAATCGTTGTAGACGCACTTTTTGTTGAGAGAGCCCCCCTCTGTACATTCATATAAAGATGTGCAAAAAAGAAGAGGGTCTATAAAGACATATTCAATTATTATTGACATCGTTACCATTTAGTATTCGTTCAGTGAAGTGGTCTTTTATTCATATATGGTAGGACGTGAACTAAGTGAAAATGAAAAGCTCTGCGTGATCTTAAAATAATGTTATTCAATAATCTTTTGACCGATGCTAAACTAAAATTTTGTTCAATCCACTCTGGTTTTCAAAAATTCTGAAGTATAAGAAGTCTGCTTGTCCTTTTTTTCTGGGAAGACAAGTTTCTCAGATCAAAAGTTTCTCAGCAGAACAATTGTGTATAATTATTGAAATGCTCACTAAATGTTGGGGTGGACCAATAGACGTTCGTTCCTGAGGATGCTTCATACGTCAAAGAAGTGTATCCTGTTGGACTCGTTGAAGTAATCAACCGACACAGTTTAGAGCCAGAGTTGTAATCAAAGCCCCAACATTCAGCAGTAGTAGTTTTGAAGCACCTGGCTGCACATTGACTCCTCAACCTGAGAAATCCTTGCCAAATCATCCCAGTTGTTGCCTTCATGTTTTGTTCAACTCTTTCGAATCTCGTTCCGGGAATATTCTGGGTTTGGCAAAATACGTTCACTAAAAGCGCACCTAGGCTGAAAATCGTCCTGATGAAGGTCTTCATGACTTCGTTTGCTACTCCGTTGATGGCTTGAAGGAAACTGAGACCTTGGCTCGAAAACTTGCCACGAGACGTGGTTCCGGCATAATTTTTCTTTATTTGCCAAATTAGTGGGGGTTGCCGTCAAAATTATGGTGTTCCTAGTTCCGGTACGTGTTTCCTCCCTATGGGCTGTGTTTGTTTCCCGGGAAAAGGGGCTGTTGGATTTCGGGTCGCGTACGTGTATTAACGATATTCTATCCGTTCGCATAAATCGTCCATGGATCGAATGAACACAATATAAAAGTATTTAGCAATCATCAAGCATCATACAAGAGTGTAAGTGAAGCTTTCATCTCATCCATTCCAAGATAGTATCAAGGCATCAATGCCCTGCACAGTACATTGAAAAACATTTTGTGGAGGGTTCTAAAAATT